ACAAATTAGTCCCTCAACTAATCAGCATCTAGTAGCACGTCTTACATAGCAGGTACTATGATACACATGGGGATACAGCTAAAAAGAACTACCCTCAGGCAGCTTTTAGTCTCTAGATTGGGAGGGGATATATGTTCACGAATATATAAATAAAAAATATAGATAAATAAATATAGAGTGTCAGTGGACATGAAAATCTGGGAGGAATCTTGTAGAAGAAAGGCCTAAAAGCCTTTCTTTCTTCTTAAATGTGATTGTAATTCAGCTGCATTGGGGGCAGGAGAAGGGAGCAGTTAGGCATCCCAAGAAATGTCACTTTTCCTTTAACAACTTGGGAACTATTACTCAATATCTACCAGACCTCCTCATGCAAAATGATTACTTGATCTGGGAGTCTTTCTGTCCAATTCAAAATCTACCAAATACTAGTCTCAGAACTGGACTTTCACATAGGTAGACATGGCCTAGTGAGAAGAACACAACCCATATCATAAAAGAGGTGATGGATTAATTTAAAGAATAATAAATGTATTTTTGGATACGACCTCTACGGAAATGTTTTACTTGACTGTGCTTATGTGATAAAGGGCTTCTTTCCTTCCTTCTTTCTTTTTTCCTTTTTCTCTCCTTCCTTCCCTCTTTCCTTCCTTTCATCTTTCCTTCTTTTCATCCTTCCTTCATTCTTCAGTAGGTAGAGGGGAGTGGGTATGGGGAGGATGCTCAATAATTGGGAAAAAAAAGATAGTAATTTTGTTTTTAAAAAGAAAGAAAACAACATCGGCCTTGGGAGTAGAGAGAACTGATGCCATCCATTACTAAATTCTGTGTGGCCTTAGATAAATCAATTCACCTCTCTAGGAATGTTTTATCATCTATAAAAACGATCAGTTTAGACTAAGTTAAAGGCTCTAAAGTAATATGAGTCTATAATCAGATAATTAAAATGGAATTGCATAGTTAAGAGTTTTTATAATTTATCACAGAATCAAAGTAGGAAGAGACTTCAAAGGCTAACTAATCTGAGCTGTATCTGAAAGAAGATCCCCTTTCTAGCATCCTAGGAAGTGATCTATTATCTATCTTTTCAAGTAGCCCATTCCACTTTGGGATGGTTTTCATTGTTAGGAAGTTCTTCCCTATGTAAATAAAACCTATATCTTCGACTTTCACCAACTTGTCCTAATTCTACCCTGGTAGACAAAGAAAACAAGTCTAATCCCTCTTCTACATGCCAACCTTTGAAGACAGATGCCACATCTCTTCTCCCCACTCAGCCAATCTTTGTATGGCATGATGTCAGGGTTCTACACCAGTCTGTATGAGTTCCTCTATATACTCACTGGTTTACCAATGTCATTCCTAAACTTAAAGTCATATTGAACCAGATCTTAAAATTCAATCACCACTAATGATCTCCATCTATATATACAAAGTAGGAGCACAGAAAAAGGAGACCCTTGTACAGTTTTAATTTTTAAAAAATATTTTTGATACCTTTTGTTTTTGACAACACAGTCATTTCAGTGTATATTTTCCCTGCCCCTTGAACTAAAACCTTGCCTTGGAATAAAAAAGGCAACTAAGTCAAAAGACAACTGTGACCATGCCTGACAATGTATGAACATTCAGCCCTTATATACCCCTGCCTCGATTCCAGGAGGATGGAGAAAAATGTATCTGTTTTTCTGGGGACTTGTTTGATTTTTCAATCACTGAGAGTTCAGCTTACTTTTGGTGATTTTTTTTACAACTTAAATTGTTATAGTCAGTGTTCTCTTGGTTCTGCTTATTTTTCTCTGTATCTGTGCGTACAAATCTTTCATTTATCTGAGTTCCCCTCATTCATCATTTCTCCCTGCATGATAATGTTCCATTATATTCATATGCCACAGTCAGTTCAGCTATTCCCCCATTTGATGGGCATTCTCTTTGTTTCCATCTCTTTGCTACAACATAAAGCGCCATTACAACACTTTGGCATATACTAAACTTTTGTTTCTGTCTTTGACCTCCTCTGGGTATAGGTCTGGTAATGGAATTGCTGGATCAAAGAATAGGAATTGTTTAGTCACTTTTCTTGCATGATTCCAGATGGATTCCCAGAACCGTGAGAACAAGTGAAAGCAGAGTATTAGTGTGCTTGTCATCCTGCAGTCTCTTCAGAAATGACTTTCATCTTTTGTCATCTTTGTTGATTTTTAGAGTGTAAAGTGAAATTGAAATTTCTCTTATCATTAGTAATTTAAAGCATGTTTTCATATAACCATCAAAGTTGGCATTTGTTTTTTGAAAACAATTCATATTTCTTGATTATTTTTCTATTAAGCAACAGCTCTTGGTTTTATATATTTATGTCAATACCCTATACATTTTGGAAATCTGACTTCTATCAATGACATTTTATTTTTTACCCAATCAATAGTTTCTCTTTGTACTTCTGCTTTGATTTGGTACTGAAAAAAAACTTTTAATTTTATTTTAATTTAATTAAATTAATTCAATTCAATTAAACTTTTCATTCAATTCAATTCACCAAATAATTATAAAGCCCATAAAAACATTAAAGTTTAGATAATCCCTAGGTCATTGTAGATAATTAGCATTGGGTCGAAGGTCAAATGAAATAATATTTGTCAAGTGCTTAGCACAGTGCCTAGCATATAGAAGGTATATAATAGATGCTTATTTTCACTAAGTTTAATTTATATGCTCTTCAGCAGAGTATATCTTACTTTCAAATTAGGTATGAAAAGGAAGAGGATGGGAGGAAGAGAGGGAGCAAAGGAGAGAGTAGAGAAGTTTAAAATGAGGTAGGTCCAGGAGCAAGACATTTATTTCAAGTGAAATGTAAAAACTATAAAGCTTAAATGGGGTACATTTTTATTTCTTTAAGCTTCTCCTTCACTGAAAAAAAAAATCTATGATTGATTTCCAGCATTGTAATTCTTCTACTTGTGCACCCTGGGTTTACCCAGAGTGAGTTAAATCTTTGGAGGCTTCTCACAAATCATTTGCACATGGTGCAGCTAGGTGGCACAGTGGATAGAGCGCCAGCCCTGAAGTCAGGAGGACCTGAGTTCAAATCTGGCCTCAGACCAAACACTTGACACTTACTAGCTGTGTGACCCTGGGCAAGTTACTTAACCCCAGTTGCCTAAAAAAGCAAAAAAAAAAAATCATTTGCACACCTATAAAACCTCACTCATCTAGGCTGATTGGGGCAGTAGTCTGAACTAATTAAAGCTATGAATTATAGAGTTTTTAATGGCAATTTAAGAGTATATCTTTCAAGTGATTATAGCATCTAAAATTGGGATATATTCCCTAGTAGAAGTCCTTAGGCCACTTGCTTCAATATAGAATGTTCTATAGTTACTTTATCAGTTATTCTCAAATCAGTACTTGTAATGTGCTTGAGGATATGCTTGTGAACATTTTGTCAAGTATTTGAAACTTCTCCGCCATTTTGGTTACTATCCATTTGGAAATATGTTTCAAATTAAACAAATGCAATAAAGTATAAGTAATTTAGAAATTAGCCAATTAAAAATTTATATTATTTGGGGGTGGGAAGGCAGAGTGGTGAGTGAGAGACTGGATCCAGACCTGATGCTTTATCCTTGTGGCAAAGTCCCACTGTATACCAGGGGTAGGGAACAGATTCCGTGAAGTTTAGATTCAAAGGGCCACACTTGAGTTTCTAGAGGGCCACGTATGCAGGTTCCTTGGATATAAATCCTTGGTAAATACATTCTACCAGTGTAGATCAGCAACTCCACATTGTCCTAATGAGTTGCCTGAGGCCCTGGGATATTAAGTGACTTGATCATATTTACACAGCAAGTATTTGTCAGAGTGAGATTTGAAAGTCTTCCTGACAACAAGGTCAGTTATTTATCCATTATGCCAAAGCTACCTCTCCATAATTCTGTGGCACAATCAGTAGCATACTGGAAAAGGAACCAAGAAGAATCCTGCCTCCAACATTTATTTAGCTTTGTGACCCCAGGAAAGTAGCTGCAACCTCAGTTTCTTTATCTGTAAAATGGAGGGTAATAATAGCACCTATACCACAAGGTTGTTGTGAAAATCAAAGATAACAACTATAAAGTGTTTTGCAAACCTTATAATGTTATGTATATCTTGGGAATTAGCTATTATTTTACTACATATTAAATTTCATTTAATGATATTTTGCTGTATAAATGTGTCCTTCACTTAGTACCGTTTTATGTGAGTGTATATGTGTGTGCATACATGCTCACACGTATATACAAGCATAGCATGTACAGGTCAGTCAAATTGTTCCCCCCCTCTACCCTCGTAGAGGCCTGTATCTTCTGTTTATTTTGAGTGTGCATTTCATGCAAGAAAAGTGACTAAACAATTCTTATCCTTTGATCCAGAAATTCCATTACCAGACCTATACTCAGCACTTAGTACCTGTGTTCTGCCATAATAAACATTCAATTAGGGTTTGTTTGTTTGTTTGTTTTTCCTGGCCATTGACTGGATCCCCTTCTAGAAAAAGTGGGGATAAATTAATAACTGAGGCAATCATAAAGGAAAGAGATGCTTCTCTGGAAGGTAATATCTGCAGCATTATTCTCAATGCTTTCATCTATCTTTATAGTAGGGGAAAATGCATCTTCACTTTGACCAAGTTCTGTAAAATCCGATGGGTATTTTCAAAAGGATGAGTCACTAAGACTCACTTCTTTCTCTCCCATGATATGCAGATGAAATAAATGGGCCTCTGCTGGGCATTTGTAACACTAGAAACTTAACAGCAAATTTTAAAGCATAGAAGGAATCTTCCCCCTGCTCCTACTTCCACTTCAGTTATAGACCAAATGGGAGCCCTAGATTCACCAATAAACAACTATTGGTTAAAGCCTCATTACAGTTTGACTACTGAAACACTTCTTGGGCCTTTCAAGCGTATGATCAGGGGGCCTAATGTTCACTGTCTTTTATAGCTTATTTTAATTATTCCACAGGTCTCCTGTTATGGCTGGAGGACTCTTTGCTGTTGACCGAAAGTGGTTTTGGGAATTGGGTGGCTATGATCCAGGCTTAGAAATCTGGGGAGGAGAACAGTATGAAATATCTTTCAAGGTAAGCCACCCAGATGCTTTTCCCTCTATTTGCTGTCAGATGGAATAGTGCATTTGGGTTTATCATCTTCACTCTGCTTTGTGAACGTCCTGTAAGGCTGATTTCTTGACGTTTTCCTTGGTAGCCGTTGGAAGAGACTGCTATATATTTCACCTCTTCAAGATCCCATTCGTAGGTGGCAAACCCTGTATGCTAAAGGATAGGTAGCTTTTCACTCTATTGACCTAAAGAGATATTAACCATGATGATTAATAACATTCAATATATAGCTAAGGGAATCCAACTCCCTGAGAAAAATAGAGTATTTGAGTTTGATTTTATGACTGATCAGAATCAAGAATTCCTGTCTTGATCTTCCCAATTTTTATCCAAAATTTCAATGGTTCTAGGGTGAGATTGGAAAGGTAAGTGAAGAATTCCAGCAAGCTTTATTTATGGCTTGGACATCTAGATATTTTAGAGGACAGTTTAAAATTTTTAAACTTTCCCTATTGCTTCAATTCTCCACTACAATACATACACATAACAAAACACTGTAACTTTTCATATTCCATGTGTTTTATTGATTAGCATTTATCTTCCCTAGAAGAGATTTCAGATAACATGTTTCTGATTTGGAAAGAAATGTTTTTCCAACCAAGAACAAACCACCAAAGCAAAATGAACACCGCCAAAAGTTGTACCTAAATAGCTGGGGAGGCATTAAAGATTGTGTCAGCAGAAACAAAACACTTCCTTCCAGCCAGAGATTCCTTCTTAAGTTACAGGCATTTAATAAGATAGACAAATTCCAGCAAAATGTATAATAAAGCAAATACCTGTAGAGTTATATTTTCCAAGTGACTTCCATTATGAAATCAGAGAGATGTGTTTTGTCAGGGGGGAAAAAAATGGCGTTTCTGAATGTAATTAAGATCATACTTAAATGTAGATGAAGCCTTTCAATATTTTGTGATTTTTGTCAGAGTAAGGAAATCCCACCTTGCAAATTCTCTCCACCAAAACAGATCAGAAACATAGGATCACAACAGAATTAGAGCTGGGTGGAACATTGGAAGTTGTTTCACCCAGTGCTTCTTAAACTTTTTCCACTAGCAACCCCTTCAGTGCTTCTTAAACTGTGGGTCAAGAAGCCCTGAATTACCTAACTCCTCATTCATTTCATAGACAAGAAAAGTTAAGCCCAGAGAGGTAAAAATTACTTGCCCATGGTCACACAGGTAGTAAGTAAAGTGGCAGAGCATGGGAAATGAGCCCATATCCTCTGACACAAAATCCAGATTTCTACCAACTGTGCCAGGAGGATTGTATTAAAATTCTATAGCAATACTTAAGATGTTAATTTAAAAAAAAGTATGTTGCACTCAATGTCACATAATCAAAATGAAAGTATAGCCTGGCAGTTCATGAGTGCCTGCTTCAAACATGACTCATTTCTTGTCCCTTCTGACTCCTTAGCAGGCCTTGCCTGCTTACCATTACCTTAACACTTCCAACTGTACTGGAGTTCATTCTTTAGCAATATCCTCTCTTTCTTTTCTTTTTTTTTTTTTTGCTTTTTCCATCACTTGAATTTAGTAGTGCCTGTCTAGATACTTCTATAGTTTGTAAAGTACTTAGGTGACTGAAGATAACAGACAAAGCCAGAAATCAAATTCTTCGTCCTTGCTTCATAGAGTCTGCTAGAATATGGAAGTATCTGGTAATCCTCAGGAGCAGAATGTGGGTCCCTCTGTTCTGTTCACCAGTAGCAGGTCTGTGAAACCATCCTAATAGAATTCATTGAGCCTACAAGATACTATCATTCACTATCCAGACATGAGCTGGTTATTGGAGTTTGCCACAACATTTGGGTGAGTAAAGGCCTCTAGTTCAGAGCTTCTTAAACAATTGTGGATCGTGATCCTGTATGGGGTCACAGCCCATCTCGTTCACCAAATCATAGAATCATTACCCATCTAATCTAAGCCACACCCAAAAGAATCCCCACCACAGTGTACCTGACAGATTCTGTCCAGAGTCTGACTGAAGACCTTGAAGGAAGGAGAACCCACTACCTCTTGAGGCAAGACATTCGACTTTTGGACAGCTCTAGTTGTCAGAAGGTGTTTCCTGATATCAAACCTAAACGAGGCCTCTTTGCAGCTTGAACTCATTGCTTCTGATCCTACCCTGTGGGGCCAAATAGAGCAAGAACATCTGGAGCAGAATGGCAGAATCAAAAAGGCACTCTTCCACACCTAATTTCTGAAAGTTCAAAGGCTGATTTCCTTAGAACTCTGGTTCTGGTAGAATCTGGTAGTTAGAATTCTGGTAATCAAATTTCCATTTAGTGAGGGCCAACTGTGTTCTGGATGACACTTCATACTAAGGGGGTAAGTTGGAAAGGGTAAAACAAGAAATGCAGAAATTTGGTAGTGAAAAGTAAGGAAAGGCTGAAGCAAATACATTTACATTCCAAATAGGGTGTTCCTTTGGCAAAATAAACAGGCATCTCTCGCATCTCTGTCACTTCTATCTGTCACATCCCTGCCAGGTGACCACAGATTTTATTACCCCATATCCCATTTTCCTGTTATCTGTCATTCTGAAAGATATAATTGGAATGCAGCCTTGTCATCTTTGTGTAGAAACTATGGCAACGGCACTCCAAGTTCAGGACTAAAGTGCCCTAGCTTGTTTGGTTTGAGTGACAGATTCTTCATCGACAGCTATGTCACAGTGGGTCCCATTTCAGCCTTATCCCTTCATTCATCTTATTATTGTGTGCTGATCTGAGGGTTCCTAGACTTCCTTATTAGTATTTTTAAGGCTGTTGTCATTGTTGTTTTTAATAAAATAAATGTTTTTAAAGCTTGAACAGGTGCCTTTGGTATAATTTACATAGAAGAATTAGGAGTCTCCACTTTGTTTAAGGAACAGAATAAGTTGTATAAAATGACTCTGATTTGTCATAGAATAGTAGTAAGAAAGAGGGGAAAAGAGATAAGCCACTGTAATCTTTTTTTTTTTTTGCCTGTGCCATTAATTCCTATTTGGAGGATCCAGGAGCAATTTTAAAATTAGAGCTCTTTACCCATTTATCTCAAAAGCAAAATGCAGCTGGGCAATTCATCACCTATTCAAGATTGGTAAATATGACCACTGACTTTTACACACCATGTAAAAGGTATATTTAAACATCAAAAATAATTTTTAGAACCCAATTCAAAAAGCTATTCTATAAAATAGTATCCATTCATCTGACATTTAGTATGAACCTATTACACTCTTCTAGGCTGTAAGGAAAACAAAGTTTAGATGTACAGTGGTCCTGAACCTAATGGAACTTACAGTCTAGTTGGAGGAATCTTCTCTTTACTATATTTTTCCTTATCAAAGTATCCTCAGATCAGGGATCACGATTAGAATGCATCCTTCTATAAATAGGAGACTTCCAAAAGTTCTCTGGGTCAACCAGAGTAGCTCAGAGGCCAGATAGCAGTTGGATACAGATAACAAATGATTCCCATACCTCGTGGTGATCAGGCAATCTTCTCACGCCCACTGTTCAATATGAGGTGAATTCTAAAATGTTCCATACACATGCATGTAATAAATAAAATGTAGAGATTAATATTAGTAGGATTTAATAGTTAAACCAAATATTCGCTGTACCTCCTTGACAAGCTTTCTACAGTCCCTGGAGGTATGTGTACCACAAATCGGGAACTGTATTCAGTCCAACCTCTCCAATACATACACACATTCAGGCATATACAAAGATCATCTTCCTTGAAAGTGTCGTTATTGTTCAATTCCCTTTCTCAGCAGCTGTAAATTACTTAAATTAAAATTTCCAATCATAGTCCATCAGACACTCTTTCAGTTGTCTCTGCCTGTCCTTACTGCCCACACCTCTTACTATCAGAAAATCACTGGCTGTCACACATGAATGATTTATTTCTACGCTTTGTTCAGTGAAGAGCTTTTGACTCACCAATCATAGCTTATCCATTGTCTATGTGGCAGGGTATGAGAGTTGATCACTGTCACAGTTAGCATACCTGGAGTAGAGCTCTTAACCCATTTATCTCAAAAGCAAAATGCAGCTGGGCGATTCCTCATCAATTCAAGATTGGTAAATATGTCCACTGACCATATAACACCATGTAAAAGGTATATTTAAACATCAAAAATTATATTAAACATCAAAAATAATTTTTAGAACCCAATTCAAAAAGCTATTCTATAAAATAGTATCCATTCATCTGACATTTAGTATGAACCTATTACACTCTTCTAGGCTCTAAGGAAAGCAAACTTTAGATGTACAATCTCTCATCTGGCTTACTTGATTTATTAACATATTCATTCCAAATTCTGTGCTAACCCAGGAGCATGATTGGATAGTTCCTTGTTAATTACTAAAATTTTGACATCTCTATCATTAATTTATCCATTAGTTCTCTGCTCTACTGCAGTTTTTAAAAAATGCTTATTTTAAAAACTAAATAAACCTCTTTTCCCATGAGCAACTACTCTTCTCTTTTTATATGTCAAAACCTTAATCTTTCATCCCTAAATAAATATGAAAATTTCTGGCCATACAATTTATTAACAGTGAAACTAATAATAACACTAAGGCTGGAAGAGAGACTAAACCTGAGATTTCATTGATATAAGGATCTCCTGGATAAGGAAACTCTCTACCAATGTAAGTCAGCACCTTCTCTGCAACTCATAGTCTTAGAAAGTTTTCTAGATCAGAGGTTTCAAACACATGCCCTCAAGCCCCATAGTGCTCCCCAAATGTGACATGAACCAGATTAAAATGTAATTGGGAAATATGGAACAAAATAAATAAAAATGCAATAGAACATAGTATTAAAATGTGGTTCTTGAAGTTAGTATGTGGTCTACAGAGATTCTTATATATGGTTTAGTGGCCCCCTATTCTGTTTGAGTTTGACATCACTGAGAAATAACTTACCCAGTGTCATACAACTAATATATGTGGT